TTATATAAAGTACAAGCCATACTCTAACATTATACAATTCTATATCTCAATTTATACTCATATTACAAGACACAATACTTTGCATCGCATTCACCAATACTTCGCTACTCAGCATAACTTTACAATGTCCTCAACATATAGTTATGGCCTGTAAGAGTTGGCTCCAAGCCTCCAACTACTACAACCCACCGATAGTGTTTGCATTTGGGCTTAACCTCCAACCCCCTCCAACTTCTCTTTTTTAGGGTGTTAGCCCCCCAATATACAATATATTGTTTTTGACCCCTTAAGTTCTTTAGTTTATGAAAATTACTCCAAATTTAATGGTAAAGAATCATATGACCCACGTGGCCATTACCCCTATGTTAACCCAAGCCCAGTCAACAACTCAGCAAAAAATTGACAAGTTATGTTACCTATGTGGTTATTCTTGATCTTATCATAATTTTATGTAGATAAAACAAGTGTCACTTATACAAAATTAAGGATCCACTACTAAATTAATTAATTAAAAAGGATTCAAGAACGTGGATTCAACCTATGATTGGTTGCCATCAATTTTGAATTAGTCTTTCAAATGATGTGTAATCTAAAGGCTAACTTATAGAGCTTGTATGTTGGGGGGCCAGCATCCTAAAAGACAACATTGAAGAGAGTGTCTCGCTGTTTTTGGGTATGTAGAAAGAATTTAGCCATTATGCATCACGTTGCTGAATGTTTAGGCATCTAAAGCTTGCAAATCGCCAATGTATTTTATGTTGCTAATAAGTGTTTGAATTTTAAAAAATTAGAACTCATCACAGATGTGGTCCACATTGCTAAAACTAAAAGGTAAATTTTTTTGGCTTTCACCGACGTTGAAAGCATTACTAATTGGTTAAAACCCTTAAAAACCTTATTTTTAAGTATTTATGCTTTAGAAAACTCATTTTTGTTTCTAAAATTTATTTCTCTATCCATTTTTAGTTACTCCATTAAAATTTTTTACACCTAACACATTAATTAACAAAATTTTGTGATTTATTCTTTATTTAAATGATGTAGCAGCTTTAATTTGTCAAACAAAAATGATGCAAACATAACTTTGAATTCATGTAAGCATTTCATATAAAAATATTAAATTTTTTTTGGGTAATAATAAATTCTACTCTAATCAAAAGTCAAATTTAAAATTTAAGAGTCGAATTTGCAAAACCCAAATTTGACTTTTTACACTGAGAGTCGATTCTTCAATGTGAGGCTTATATAATGGTGCTATAAATGAGTATCAAGTAAAAAAGGGGTACATATAATGGTGATGCAATTGAAGGTTTGGTGGCTGTCAGTCAAAGTAAAACAATAATGTAAGGCTTGTTGGTAATGTATGAAATTAGCAACAGGGTAGATGTTGCTAAATCTTCTTTCTCAGGGAAAATTGTAATAAGGTGTTGATTATTGTTTAGCAACAAGGGATACGTTGCTGATTATAAGGCCCCCAATAGTTTAAATTACCAACATAAGCCACATTGGTAAATATAAAAAAAAAATATTTTTTATTTCCTTATACCTAAAAAAACTCCTTTTTAGGTCATAAAATTTTTATACTTGCTTTTGGTTACTCAATTAAAATTTTTTATAGTTTACACATTAATTAATAGAATTGCATAATTTATTCTTTTCTAAATGACGAGAAAATTT